AACCTCAAGTCAAATGACCAATTCCACTACCGAACGTTAAAGATTAACCACTAACACTCAGATAGTTAACCATGTGGAATCTCCCAGCGGGTCTTCAATGTTTTGTTCTATAACAAAACATCCACGTGTTCATTCAAGTGTCACCACACTTTAACTTGTGAGATCAGCTACTTACTTCACAAGTAAGAATACCACAGGCGATGATCTATCCGTAATAATGATATCCGTATCTCGTTATTACTTCGACCACGGACGATTTAAGATTCGATCATTTGTAATTTGTATCTCACAATCACAATTCCTTGTGATTAAAAAATCACCAAGACTACGGATTCTATTATTTAATTTGTTAGAATATTAATTTAATTAAATAATAGATGTTGTCATACATGTATCAATTGTATATATTTAAAGTGTTTATGTCCAAAGTTGATTGGACCTAGGGCATAACACTTACAGCATTAACATGTATATGTATAAAATTGAGAAACAATACTGACATAAAACATAATAATCAAATAACATGTTAACATAAAAGCAAACAAGATAACACATTTATACATTTAACCATATAACATAAGTGTGAAAATAGGGGAGGTTTACTTACTTTTGAGTCCTCAAGTTTTACTCTTTCGTATAACGAGTAGAGATGTTCCGAGCCGTGCTCAAAGTCAAAGTGCTTTAAATCCTAATTTTTTATCATATATTTAGAAACTTTGGTAAGTTCACTATCTAAATATGAACCCATAATATGACTATATTAAATAAATTAATCTATTGTTATTGTAAAACCCTATATGTAACTAAAAGTGTTAAGGTTCATAAAATTTACAAGGGAAATTTAATGTAAAAGACATCTTCCATTCAAATAGATATAAATTTGTTTAGTTAATTGTTAAGCTAATAAATTACTTTTCCTACCAAATGTCAAACATAAATGCCTATTACCATTTAAATGTATACAAATATATTCAGACTTAACACATATATGCACACATTATCTATATGTATATTCAATTATACACTCAACCCCATTGTATATACATATATAAACCTGCACACACACAATTACCAATGTATATCTAAGCACACAAACCTGCACGCATGTCTGTACACACTAACCGATACACACACGTATATATTATGCACACAACTATATTTACATTAGTGGAAATGTATGCAAACAAATATATTTACATTTGCCTGCAAAAATGGAATATGTTGGCTGTGATAAGACTACTCTACAATTTCTTCAATCAAGATTCAAGGATCTACTAATATGAATGTAAATATAAACTTAAAAATAAAGTATAGTACCTTATGTATCAAATTTCAAGGCAGAACGTAAATCAGAAGAAATGAAAAGAAAGAAAATAGAGATTTCTTTTTGGGTTCACGTTTTCTTTGATAAGAAGAATAAATAATGGTTTTCTTTCCTTAAAAATTTGCATAAAAATGGTCTTTTATACAAATCATAATGCATTAGTCATAGGTTAAATCACTATCAATTTGGTAACTAAATGACATTTCCCTTTATTCTTCCAATTAGTGCACAAATTAGTCAACGTGTGATAAATTAATCAATCAAATAAGTAAACATTATATTTAGACAATAAATTGAACACATCTATTATTTTCCTTATATTTTGGTTTATCTTACTAAAATTAACTTTAATAGACACAATGATCATATAGGACGTCCGAGGTGCATCCCACGGTAAAAACACAATTAATTGTGACAACATTAAAATTTATGAATTAAAAATGAAATTTAAAGAGTAGTTATATATATAAATCATATAAAAGAATACGTGGCGTCAGAGATTTTATGTCATTTCATGAAAACAAGAGCACTCCGGCTCACCTTCAAAACTCCAATTTCACCCGTGTATCTATAACCATTTGAGTCAAGTACATCCAAAGATATGAGATTCCGCTTCAGTTTTGGAACATGTCTGACATCTGTAAGTGTTCTAATAACTTCATCGAACATTCTGATCCTAACTGTACCAACTCCGATAATTTTACAAGACACGTTTCCCATAATCACTGTACCTCTCGAAACTCCTTCATATGTTGTAAATCAGTCTCTATTAGGACGCATATGGAAAGTACATGCTGAGTCAAGAACTCATTCCTCATAAGATTTGGAACACATGTCAAAAATCTCAAGAAGCTCTCTTTCACTTTGCTCATCCTCCACAATATTAGTCTTTGTTGTGTTTACAGGTTGCTTCCATTTATTAGTACCACCAGCTGCTTTGTTTCTGTTCTTCAAAGCATAGCAATCAACTCTAATATGCACATTCTTCTTACAAAAGTGACATGTTTTCTCTACATGTCTGGATTTTGATCCGCCCTCATATTTTTACCAAGATTCCTATATTAATTTCTCCCACGAACAATCAGGTCTTCAGCTTAGCTCCTAGATCCTCTAACAAGATGTCTCATCTTCTTCTTAGATAATAAAGTATCATAGACCTCTTCCACAGTGAGTCTCTTGACTATAGAAAATAGTATCTCTAAAAGTCACATATGATGGCGACAACGAACACAACAACATCAAAGCCAACTCCTCCTCATCATACTTAACTTCCAGTGTCTCCAAATCGGCCACAATTTTTTTGAACATAGTTAAGTGATCATCCAATTATGCACCTTCAGACATCCGGTGAGAATACAAACGTTGTTTCAAGTGTAGCTTGTTGGCTAAGCTCTTTGTCATACAAAGTTGCTCCAATTTCAACCACAACGCAGTGTCACTTCTCTCTTTTAGAACATCCCGAAGAGTTTGATTTGAAAGATGTAGATGAATTTGATATTGGACTTTTCGATCCCTACGCTACTTTTCATCATGCATCAAGGTTGAAGACATCTTATCAAAGTCAAGTAAGGTTTCCTCCAAATCCATCTGCGCAAAAACCGATCGCATCTTAACTTGCCATAAAATAAATCTCGTGTTTCGATCAAATAATGGAATATCATATTTCATTGATGCTATACGAAAAATCAATATTGCTCTGATATCATATATTATAAATTGAACTCAAAATATTGACAATAATGAAATAAACAAAAACAAATAAGAACACCAAAATTTATGTGAAAATCTAATATGGGCAAAAACTACAAGAAGAAGATAATAATTTCTCTATCCATAATGAATGTGTTTACAATATCAAGATTTCAATACTGTCAATTGAAATCTAAGTTTTCTAACTCTCAAGATATTGTTGAATGTACATTTAGAGATACACCAATGTGGAATATATATAGGAACCTCTTTTTGGAGTTTTAGACGAAGAAGAAAATATAAAATCCAAAAAAATCGGGTTAAAACCCGTCATGGCAGTGCCAGGCTACTACCTCCCTTTTCTTCAACAGGCGCTCACATTCAGTAATTATGCCTTCAAATTATTATTTTTATCCCAAAATCCTTTTCCAAGTCAAACTCTCAATCCTTGCTTAAAATTTGATGTCTATTAATTAGGACTCTCACAACCAAAACTCCTTAAACTTCTTCTATTCAACCAAACACCAAATCATATTAAATTTGAGTCACACTGCAACAACAACGTCAACAAATAAGAGTGAGTTAAGTAAGACGAAAGACAAGTACTTAACATATCACCCTCCTTTATTCGTATCATATTATATAATGAATAGCTTGTTAACTAAAATGATATTATTAGATAAGATTGAAGAGGAAATTAAGATATATGCGGCAAAGACCTAGTAGTAGAACAATGTTCTATAATGACCATATAGACTCTGCTTAAGGACATCTAGACCCGGAGCTTCAAAAAACCTCCGTCTTGTGCCTAGATGAAAAATTAGATAGTTAACTCTCCGTTGACCGTCTAATGTGCATATAGTGAAAGAAATGCACCGGCCTTTTTTTTTTTTTTCCTAAGTTGTATTTTCTTGTTTTGAAAATCAATTGAACAAAAATGTTCGACTATTGCTAACACTTAAAAATGGAACAATTTCAATAAAAAAAACTTGCTATAACTCAAACCCAATTTAAGAACATAGCTTTCTTTGTCAATGAACATAGCATCACTGATCTGCAATATTTACGATTTTAAGAATTTGTTTTTGTTGAGGACTTTGTATATATGTATGAAGTTCCTATAAATTTTTAAGATGTGCTTATTTTATTTATTTATCAATTTATAATGATTAAAATATTATTAAAAATCGAAAAACGCTTTATTTTGTTTAGGCTTCAGTCTAGGAATATCAATGGGTTGAGCCGAGCCGGCTCGGCCCATACCCACACGAGCTCGGCTTGTGCTCGCACAAGCCGAGCTCGTGGCTCGTTTCCAATGGCTCGGCTCATTGGATTTTGGGCAAGCTCAGCTCGTGCTCGAGCTCGCCCAAGGCGAGCCGCTCGGCGAGCGGCTCGCCAAGCAGCTCG